TAACTGATTAATTAACCAATTACCCCCCCTGAAAAAAAAACCAGAAAAATTTTAAAAAAGAATAAAGCAACCTAAAAAATACCGAACACACACTGAATCATAATCACGTCTACCTCAGCGGTTCACAGAGCTATCAACTACTCACTCCTGATTCTACCAAACTCTTGGTCTAGAAATCTCTCCACACTTGACTTCAAAGCCTGTTTTCATTATGTGTATAACTGACTCCTGGTCTGTTTACTTTTCTAAGCCTAAACTGCTCTGCCTGATGCCTGTTTCCTTCCCTTTTCCCCCACTAAGTTCCAGTAGCCATTTTGTTCAAACTACTCACAAGCAAATATGAAATGAGATCTTCCTGGGACTTGAAGTGCAGTTTCTCTAAGAGAAAACTGAAAACAAATGCAGTAGGAGTCAATCTTCTATGGAAAAAGACAATCTGGCTACAAAATAACTCAACCCTAACGAAAGCTACTTACTAGTCACTCCTTCAGAAGAGGACTATCCTTATCCCACCACCAGTCTCCAAGCCCATCCCCAAATCCAAGTAGAGTGTCCCCTGTACCATGCCTGCTGCTTCTCAAGTCTGAAAGTCCCCTGAGGACAGGGACTGGTCTGTCTGGTCCACCACAACATCCCTAGAGGCTGGTGCTATGGCTGACAGATAAGGGACCCCAAATACCTACCTGCTGAATGAACAAACAAGGAATGTTAAGAGTCAGGTAGAAGAAAAAAAAAGGAAGAGGAGGAGGAGGGGACGGGGAGGGGGAGGAGGAAGAGGAGGGGACGGGGGGAGGGGGAGGAGGAGGAGGAGGAGGAGCAGCAGCAGCAGCCAGTCCAGAGCTTTATCAAGGTGCACTGGAGCTGGGTGAGAGAGTACTAAGAGCCTTAAAGCTTAGAAAATGGGGAGTCACTGGTCATCACAAGGGCTACAGCGGCTTTATTCCCAGATTCTGTTCATGTTGGGATCTGGGTTTGGGGATTTTCAGAACTCTCTCCTTAAAGTTTTCAAGACTATAAGGAGGCTATAAGGAGGAAGTCGACTTCAGGACAACTGATCACTCCAGCAGATAAGGCAAGGGTGCACCCAGGTCCGAACCGCGCACTCTGCCAACAAATCTAACAATAAAGCAATAGAACAGAATACAATTCCTGAGTCTCAGCCAGAAAGTGAGGAAAAACAAAGCGCAGGGAAGAGAAATGGAGGTAGAGTATGTGGATAAGGAGGGCAGAGGCCAGGCTTTATTGAGATGTACCGAGTGTCAGGCACCGTGCTTAGCAATTCACATGCACTGACCTATTTAATCCTCCCACCAAGCCAGAGGTCGAAAAGTATTATCATCCCCATTTGACTGATGATGAAACTGAAGCGTAGTGAGATACCACCTGCCCCCAGCACAGAGCTAGGAAGGGGCAGCGCTGGGACCGGTCTGACTCCAGGCTACCCCACTCTTGTAAGCTGCACTAACTATTCAGCTCTGAGGCCTTAAAGCAGGACCGAGAGGAGGGCGTTCATTTATCCAAATAACGAACACTTACTGAGCACCTACTGGGTACGTGTGCCAGGCGATGGTGGGCGGACGAAGGGCCGAGGACTAAGGGGTCGGGGAACAGAACGCAACATCAACCCCGAGACTACGGAGCCCGAAGCCTCGGCGCCCGTGGGGCAGAAGGGATGCTAGGGTGCGGCAGAGGAAGGGAAGGGAAGGCGCGGAGTGGGAGGAGCGAGCGGAGCCGGGGCGCGCGAGGCACAGGGCCCGCGGAGCCCAG